TTCCTTTACATTCGAAAAGTTCAACAGGCAAGCCAAGCGAGAAGGAGAATTGCATTCATTCTCTCCAACAAGCTATATGACCGTCATCTGATTCGTTGTACCGCTTGATTGAATCAGTCTAGCGATTCTTTGGCCTTTTACTGTCCCGTTGCCCCGTTTCGATTTCTTTTTTTGTTATTTGTTTAATACATCTCTCTTTTCATTCAAACAATACAAATATTAGTCATGAAATGCGATAATAGCTAAATCAATATGCTACAGCGGCTCTCATCATTATCAAATATGTGCGCTTGATGCATTTTTATGAATTTTTTTTTTTTTTGCTAAATCTACGCGCACACATACATAAAACATTTAAATTCGCTTTTCTTCCACATTCGACGGATTCATTACATAACTTTTACAGGTATTTTAATTATTGATGGGCGCCTGAAGCTTTTTGGGTGTAACTTTTGGAATGCTATTGTTTTGGATAAATATCTTTCATTTATTTATATTTTCCAATGCAGATCGGGATTGGTTTTTAAAACATGTATGCATTTAAATCGCATGAATTCGAATAAAAACATTTTGATAGCTTTTTGTTGGAAATGGATTTTCACATAAAATTCCGAATTATAAATGCAACGATATTTCGAACCAATAAAATAAATAACACATTTCGATCAGTTATTTTATGTCTTACATGGGAAATACTTGTTCACTTTTCATCGTAAGTTCATCGAAATGGAAATTCGGTGGGTTGTATGTATGATTTTATCGAAACCGTATTAAATATTTAGGTAAGAAGTGCGCCGGTCAAAAAGCATAAAATCAAGTCATTACGAGTTGAAGGCCATTTTGGAGTTTTGTTTATTTTGTTGTTGTTATATTATTGTTTTTCGCACAATGCGGACATATCTCTTCAAAAAGAGAGCGTATGTGTGTGTGAGAGAGAGAGAAAGAAAGAGAAATGGCAAAAAGCATACAATGCCAATTCTGTAGCCGTTAGAAAAATCTATTGTTATCCATTTTTCGATTGGATTTTAGACGCAAAAAAAGTCATAAGATATTGTCGCATACAACGAGAAAAGTGCCATAAAAAAAATAGAGGCCATTCAATATACACCACATTGACATGCATTGAACAAACGTTGATTCAGTTGCATTGGCAAATTGTGCGACGTTTGTTAAACGGAATTAAAGTTGTTACTTTAAAGGATATTCTAGTGGAAATAATCCCGATTGTGCAACATTATTGAGGTAAACAAATGCGTAGTTTTGTGCAATGGACCAATCGAAAATAATAAAAAGGGAGAGAAACAGCGAACGATAGAGAGAATGAAGTGAAGTACAGCTTTTTGTGTGGACTCGGACGAAATATGCACAAACATTCAAGCACTTACACACACACAAACATTCGTAGCGAAACCATAGAAAAAGAAAATTATGGCATAAAAGCACATACCATACGAATGAAGTACATTTTCAAGTGATACTTAGAAAATTCCAAACAAGCATCAAATTCCAATTCGAATGCCAACTTATTTTCAGAATCCGTAATCGATTCAATACAGCAAAAGACAGAGCGAACATATTGCGATAGATAGAGATGCACAGAAAATCGATTGAAGTGTTTCGGTTGGACAGTTAACAGCTAAAATTGGAATTATATATATATTATGTTATTCGATTTAGGTTGAATTATCTCGCTTCTTGATCGAATTCAAAGATGCTTGATGCGATTGATGGTGCGTATGCACTTCACCAACCTCTCTATCGAAGCGTGTGTATTTGTGTGTGCATAATAAAAAATATCGAAACCTCAAAATGGCTTTGATGTGCACACAACCAAAGAGTAAATTAACTAAGAAAATCGTGCCAACAGTATTGCTGCGGGCGAGATTCTGTGCATGGCATGGTATTCAATGCACGAAGACATACACGGCAATCGTTTAAATATCCATTTTTTTCTATTTGTCAAATGACAGAGAACGGGGAGAGGAAAAGAGAGAAAAAACGAGCTTTTAACCGACTTTGGTATTATTATAACTCTCAACTGGCTCAGCAATTCTCATGTTTCGTATTATTTAAAAGTAATTTTCTCACACGCCACAAAAGGTGGATTCTAATTGAATTTGAAATGGTTTTTTTTTTGGTTTTTTTTTTTTTCTCTTTCTCCACACACATTGTTTGACTCATATGGCTATTAGGAAAAAAAAAATTCGATAGCAACAATTGGCTTAGTGTCACTACGATAACAATATGATAGCTTTTTCTTTCGCTCTTTCTTTGAGTCATCTTATATGACGTGTGCACACCATTTGCCGAAAAAAAGTAATATGCCGAATGAAAACGAACCAAGGAAATTAGTAAAAAAAAGCGAATAACAACATCAGTAAGAATATTTGAAAAGAGCAAATATATGACTTTGTTTTGTTTTTGATTAAATGCTATCGTCGGCTTGTTTAATTTTGTATTAAGAAAAAGTTTACATCTTTTTCATTCTCCTTTATTAAATATGTCGAAAACCAACACTCCAAATACTCTCATATCACTTGACTAAGAGTCCATATATGGATTTCGGTACGTATCCGTTTAATAGAATCGTTCTTTGGCGCGCGTATTAATATCCATAATCAATACAAGAGCTCTCTTTCATTTTATGCGCTCAACGAGCAGCAAAAAGGTATATATAGAGAGAGCGACCCATAATTTTACACACCGATGGTGTGTCCATATTAGATATTGTGACTTTATGTATACAAAATTTACATATTTACAAGCTTCGCATACCGATGTTCCAAAGACTCACATTTAAAATAAACAGAGAAATGGCTTGTTCGCTCACACGCTCACACCACCATCATCACTATCGTTACACATTCTCGCTCTCTCCTTTTTTCTTCTCTCTCTCTTTTACACACATGCAATCACATATATGGATACCGCTCGTGCAGCGAATTCAATTAAAAGATTCACCAAAAGAATAGAAAAAAAATAACGCGCTCGCCCTTCCGTATGAGTTCGCCTTTTTTCCCTGTTGTTTTTCATTTCTTGTGTACAAAATCGTAAATGCTTGTACATTTATCGTCCCCCCGTCGTCGTTGTCGTTGTCGACGTATTAACGATAGTGAGCAAGAGAGCCGAGAATATGTAGAAAAAAAAACACCCAAAGTAAATATTTATACCAAAGCGTATATGTAAAGAACTACACATATGAACTTATATACTTTGTTTAGATTTAAAAAAATTTCTTTGAAAAGAATGAACGAATTTCGAACATTTTGTTGATTTTGCATCCATTTAGTTGCCAAATTGTTTTTTTCTTATTGAAAAATTGTGCTGCATCGAATTTTTTTTTGTTCAATATACATGATATAATCTAAATTTAATAGACAAGAGACATTTCACCAATTTAAAGGGGGCGATGTGCGAAAAACATCTGATTTAATAAGATAAATCGTATAGATTTATCGCAGCATAATAAGAAAATAGAATAAGATCAGAAAACTGCCAATTTAAACATTTCGATTTGAATTCAGATTAAGCGAATGAACAAGATTTGTGGAATTATTGATAAACAGGAAACAAACGATGACATACACACACACATTTCTTGCATAGAAAACTAATTCTTAATGAATTGACAACGAGATGAGGTAAAAATTACAACCATCTGATATATGGCACCCGCATTTCTTTGCTACCGCACGCATGGTATAATATTAATAAAAGAACAAAGTCGACCATTTATTAAACCGACAAATTCGATCAACATTGAATTGAATAGTTAGTTGATGTGTTGTTTGTTTCGATTAAGTGCCAATAGGAGTACAGTTTGCGTGTATACATTTTGTTGTTGAGAGATTTCTCAAGTTATTTTCGGCTGTACCATATTTGCACCGTTATTGCCGCCGTTTTTCGTACTTAACACACCATTTCAGATAGCATGCGTTTTGCTATTTTCTCTCTTTCTTTCTATCGGTTCACATTTAATTATTCAATTTAAATACTGTTTTCGGAATAAGAAGATGAAAAAAACATCAAGACTACATAGAGCCCTTAATGCATACATTAGCTAGATGAAAAAAAGAAGATGTTGTAAGTTAGTTAATTTGTTTTTCGTGTTCATACTAAAGAGATAGACAGATAAATGCAATGTAATGCACATATAGACCGCTTCGACCTGACCGATCTCGTCAGTTGTTTTACGAGAATGAGAAAATATGACTGAAAGTGCATTGTGAAATAGATAAACGTAAGTAGAAGAGAAAAAAAATGATTTGAGCGAACGAGATCAAGCAAACAAGAGAGTGAAAAAAAGATGACCAATAATGATAGAAAATTTGCTTATTTCAATGTAAACATAACAAAGATCTCCGTCAATTCTTATTCTTAAAAAAAACACACACGATACAAAATATGTGTGACATCTCTCTATAAATACAGATAGAGAATTGAACAATGTATATTATATATTCATTATAATAAGAAAAAATTGATTGGTTGAATGGAAGTAAGAAAAAAAGTGTTTTGATGGTTAATTTTTTTTTAAATATATTTTTCAACTTAGCCCGTTTTACGAATGTGTCACCACACCGTTCAGCACACATACACTGTTGGCCACACGTATTAGCACTGAGCGTAAATTTAATTGTTGCTTTTTAAAAACTTCGTTCAACATTTGTGCCTCTCAACATAACCGAACCAATGACAAACCAATCAAAAAAAAATATAACCACAACTGAGAAATGAAACTGTTTTATCATCAGAAGGTGTATAAATAAATTTTGTTTTCAGTTCTTTGAAATAGTTATCACACGCACAATCGCACTTTATCCGAATCCGATATCAAAAAAAAATCTTCTTTCATTTTATCCTATATCTTCATTTCTTTCGTGATTATTTATTTTTTAATGCGCGTGTACTGTTTTAATTTGCACACACAATTTTTTTTTTTTTGCTTCTTCGGTTTTATTTTGTTGCTTCAATGAAAATGAACTAAAAAATATATTCACTATTGAAACTCTGTTGCGTATTTCTATTTCTTTCTGTGTGTGTCACTTCTCTTTCTCTAGGTTAATTCAACTATAAAATGATAATCAACGAAAAAGGTGAGCAAAAAAATCACACTATTTTCTTTTATTATTTTGTTGTTGCTCGAATCGTTCACGTTTGATATTCGCGGTATGCTGACGATGATGAAGATATCTCAAATGCTGACAAAAATAAAAAAAAATACTGCATCCGTTTTAATGAGAAATTTCGCTGATTTTTTTCTCTTCTTCTTCTTTTTCTTCTTTTTGCCTATTCCCTTTGCGAGTATTGTGTCACTAGTGCGCGCTACTATTTTCTTATACGGTTGTATTCAATTCCGTTTATTTTATTATAATTTCAATTTTTTTTTCTCTCGTAATTTTCGCTTTTTTGTGGATATTTTTTTTTCTTCTTCTTGTTGTCGTCTCGGTTAGAATGAATGGATGAAATTTATTTATTTATTTATTTTTTTATTATTCTTTGATTCTTTTACCAATAAAATATTGTGTTGTTTCTCGTTTTCGCTTTTTCGTGTGTGGTACGACAGAGAGATGTAAAAAACTGCTCTGTGTGTATACACATGAAGTATATATTGTACGAAAAAAAAGTGACAATCAATAATGTCGACAAAGAAGAACGTATAAAAAATACACGCGCGAACCTTATTAGAACGAAGGCATCTACACTGTGTTTGACATTGCGTAAAATCAGAAAATGAACGAGATAGAAACAGGTGAACCAACCGAAACCGACACACAAATGCAGCAGATGTATGAGTGTGTTGGTGTACGAGTGAACGAAATACAACGAAATGATTACAAAAAATACAACAAAGCAGTGGCACAAGTAACGATGTGTATGTACATGCGCGACTGTATGAGTGTGTGTGTATAGCACACGAAATGATATTTACTGATACTAGAAGTGAATTTAGCAAATGCGCGAACAAACGTACGGTATAATATCATCAAATGAGCGTAATTGAAACAACACCACACATTACCCACTCATTGGTATTGGAACATTCGTTATGGATAGAATATATTTTACTCACTCTTGACCACAGTCGAGTCAATCATACATATTATTACACCGTTTTACAAACTAGTTGTCTCTTTTTCGTGCCATGCACACTATATATAATCTGTATATCAAATATGGGGCGATTGGTGTGTGCGCCGTGACTGCACATCATCAAAAAAATCGAAAAAAAAAATACATGGATACATCAATACGAGTACACGAAAACACATAGATGTGTGTCTCGCTCTCGGATACTCTTTTTTTTATCGATGTTGTTGATGTGGTGGAGCCTTCGCCACCGTGCTTTGAATTTACAAATACCGAATAAACGAACGATAAAACGAGAAATTCTATATATACAGGCTTTTTTTATTTCCAAGTTGATTGTCATCCAAATACGCAACAACCCAACATATTTATCCTAATCGATTTCAGTTTCGATCAGTTCTACATCGTTTTGTTTGTCGCATAAATCTTAAACAAAACACTCAACGGCTATTTAAATAAATCTGATGGAATTTCTACCTCTTCTCTCCTTCGTTTGTATCGTCGTCGTCGTCGTCGTCGTCGAAATGTCAAATTCGAAAACGGATTTGCATTGCATGGTATGACCGACCGAGCATGTCCGTTGAAGACGTTTTGCATATGAAAACTCAATCGCATACAATCTCACACCCAAACACACACACAGAAACCAAATTCCATGCCAAATAATGCGTATGCAATAAAGAAAATTAAAAAAAGGTGGAATGTAACGAATGAGGTGAGAGAAAATGTGTGCGAGTTGGAAAAGGCGTTAAAAATCAAACGAAACGATTGATTAGAGTTTAGCGTTTTTAAACTCAATTACGACAAATTTACCCAATTATGCTTAAATCAAACGTTCTCTCAAACAGTAAAAATATTTTTTTTGTTCGCATATCTTCCAGTTGCTTACATCAAATCAACCGCACATTTCTATGCATTGCTAACAATACAGTACGAACAAGAAACGAATCTTAGCCGTTAATGCCTCATGTACGGTTGCCTAGAGTGTTGCTATAGTAAGTAAGCGAGAGCAAGAGTGCGAGTGAGAGAATGCGAGAAAGAAAGAAAGAAATGGCCATTTTTCCTCGAGGCGACTCATATTTATATGAAACACAAAAAAAATTAAGATGCTTCAGCATGAATCGTTTTTATGTGCTGTTATCAAAATGAATAAACGTATGTGCATGTATCTCTTTTTGTCGAACAAACACATTCACGGCAACGGTCGCATCACATTTTGAATACAAGGTCCAATTGAGAGGGCGATAATAACTCGCACAAATATGTTTTCCTTTCATGTCGATCGAGCTGAAAGAATATATAAATATTCGAATCAAATCGTGAATGGACCACGATATTATCGCCGATTATTCCCGTCAATAGAAAGAAAGAATTTTCAGCTCTCAGTGAACATTGCTTTTATGCAAGATCATGTACAATGCGACATTGAATGTATATAACGGTAAGAAGTGAGTCGGTTAATTGAAATTTAAATTCGAAACATGTCAATATTCCTGCGTCGATTGGTTTTCAATTGAATAAATGACATCTCTTTTATCATTTCGTCATTTTTATTAATTGAGAATAACTTTTCCTGTTTCACTTACAAAATTCCTACTCACATCATTTTGTCGACTAATTTTAAATGGGCGCGCGTACTCTCTGCACTCAGAGAGGGAGAGAAGGACCGAGAAAGATAAATTGATGCTGCTGCTGGTGCTGTTAAAAATTTCTAACCTCTAAAAATAACCACCACGCGCGCAATAGAGATTTATCCGAACGACGGAAAATGCGTTCACACGATATATTTAAAAAAAAAAAAAACGGAACAAGATGAAAATGAGAGAAGAGTGACAGCAAAAAAAATGTTCGTTTTTATCCCTCAATTGACAAATCTCGCTCGCATATTGGCAGAAGGAAAGAAAGAGAGCCGCAATACAGCATGTGCGCGCTAACCGTATTAATACACAAACAAGCAAACATATTTATACTGTAAACTCGCGCAATGTTTACGACTTTTGCTTATTCAAATAATTTCCATGATTAACAATTTTCTCGTTCGGCCCATTTGATGCACATGCTAGAGAAAACGAGAAAGATAGAAAAACAATTGTGTATGTGTGTAGAACGAACGAATGCGCACCCACAAATACATGAGTAAAACCGTTCGTTTTGCTTACAACAACGGTTCGCGCTATCCCTTTCACGTCATCCAATTCATACAACTTGCCAAGATATCACACAATCGAAATCATATTGTGTACCACCAAAATGAAAAAGAAAAACACACCAACAATAATAACAATAGCCTCTAATACCATTTTATACGCACACCAATATTAAAGGCACTGGATTCGATTTTATATATGTGTCAAAATGTGTGTTTGTTATTGCTGTGTTTTCACGGATTGTTTTCGCTGTGCGTTAATTCATAAGCTTCGGCGATAAGAGTGTTGTTTGTGGCTTCTTTCTTCCCGAGTACAGAAAACAAACAAATACATTAAATTCGAGTGTGTTTTTTTTTCAGTTTGGTTTGTCCGTGATTTCCAGTTCAACTAGGAAGTGAAAGCGAACAAAACACAGCACACACAACGGCCAACGCAAAAACAAGAACGAATTTCACCGAGAACAGAAGAGAAGGAAAAGAAACGTTTTGAAAAATAACCAAATATTCGAATCAGTCACTGCCTAGAGAAGTTTTAATGTTGACGCGTTGTGTGCTGCATAGTGTTTTGAATTAATTCATATTGTGTCATAGGCTCTAGGTGTAGATAAACATCTTCTTCTTCTTTTTTGGTAAATAAACGCATTCAAAACGAATAGGAAAAATGCCATCACATTAAAATTGAAGGAAATCCATTGAAACCAACAAACATAGTCCAGGTGATAATTTATTTGAACGTTTTGTCTATATCAAACATAAAATACTATTTTTTTTAATGGATTTCGTTTGCGTGCAATCAAGTTGCACGTGCCCTGTTATTGGAGTCGACGAAATATCGTATAATTTTGATTGGGCTCTTGCATCTCGTAAACAAGTACCGAACAACATTGAATCGATTCTTGAATATGCATTCATGTTACTCAAGCAGTGCGCTTTCAATTGAATATTCAATTTTCAATGCATTCAATCGATACTTGATGTTCCAAGACTGATTTTCGAATTATATTTGGTTTTGCTATTGTTTTTCGGATGTGGAAGACATCAATTTTTCTCTGCGATTATGAAATCGAACTTTTGACATTTGGCCGTTGTGTTGATAAGACCAAATGGAGAAATCGAGTGAGAGAAAGAGAGAGTTATTGAGTTCAAAAGTTCATTGAGTAAATAGTGTTATTGAACAAATACTAATTATCTAGTGATTATAATTGTTAGTCCAACCGACCAAGTCACATGGGCCGCCCAATTGAGCTCACTCTTTGTTTTCACTTCTCATAATCATGTCTATGTATTGCAAATGATTCATCAATAATTTGAATTCAAACATGTTTACAAACGACTGATTACCTCATTTGATAATTTTGATTTAATCACCAACTGGAAATATATTTTTAATTTGCTTTTTTTTAAATTTCATTCTTTGTTTGTGTCACATTCCGATTGCAAATCATGACGATGTTGCAATGGAATTGTATTCGTACATAATCGGATTCATTTATACCATTACACGTGCCAATCATTATTCTCTCTGTGTCTCTCTCCCTGTGTGTCTGAATAGTTTAACGCGCAAGCATCTTTTGTCTCTCATTGAAAAAAAAGGCGGCTGTTTAATCAGCATGTAGCGCACAAGCATTGGCACGCGCGTGCTTTTGAACAAGATCACATCTAATTTATAAGCAACGATATTTAACATTGTATTCAATGTTCACTTGACATTGATAATGGCCAAGCAAAAACACATAAACTCAATTACCCCAAACTATGTGTAACATATCCAGTTTTCCCATATTAGTTTGTATTTATTTCGCTTATTTCATAATTCATTTTTTTTGTTCACTCTCTCTCTCTCTGTGTCTCTCATAGTTTCGCATTGGCGACGCGATATGCCGTCAATTAATATAAATGTGCAAATGTGCAGTTTAGCCTAAAAACTAATATGTGTATCATGTCAGAATTATGATTTGTTTTTTGTACATATTCTACATTGTATATTATGTCTGCGCGCGTGGTCGCTTCACTCGTTCATTTACTTGCTTGCTTTGTACTTGTTGTTTTACTCTTTTTATTTCGCATGCCAGCACATTATTGCCAAATGTGGTGTTACTGCGTGTATGGCCTCTAATATCTCTCCATTCGATATGTATATGTCTCTCACTTTTTATCACACATAAAAAAAATACAAGAAGAAATTACGTTGCTGTTTTTTTTTTCACTTGTCAAACAATCAAAATCGAGCCAATAGTGACGACAACAACATCAACAACAAGCGCAGCAATAGTAATAACTATAATGAAACACAAGCGACCGTTGGTTCTGTTCATATAGCATTGAGAGTGCCGTGTGTATACAAATACGAAAGCGTGACACACAATACACAGTACCGTATAGTTATACGAATACACCAAATAATACGGTGACATTTATCATTTGCATTGCACAGAAAGCAAAGCATGTTTTACGAAACGTGCATGCTTCAGTGCCGTTTATTCTGATTTCAAATTTTAAAGGATTCGGAATTGTGACAATAACAATACTACCGACAACATCAAAAGTTTCAGTTATAATAGGAAAAAATAGCGAGAATTAGGGAAAAAAAACCTACATTGATTTCAATCAAAAATTCCAACCAAAAAAGTAATTATTTGCCGCATTTAAAGTTTAAAAAAAAAACACCGTTTTCGAAAAGAATAACACGCATGCACTCAATTTACTCGTACAGTGTTTTTATGGTCAACATAAGCGAAAATAAGGAACGAGTTAGAGTTTTTGATACTGAAATGTGTGCTATGATCGCATAAATTCGTGGCGTGGAAAAGAGTTCGTTAAATTTTTGGTGGACAATTTTGTAAAACAATTCTCGCACTGTTTGTGGTTTTACTTCAATTGTTTTCAAGTTACATTTCTATTTTCAAACTAATTAATTGCAATTTCCGTTCGAGTAACGCTTTCTAATCAACTACTATTTACCTGTTTATTTTCTTAATTCACACGAACATTTTTCTATTGCATGCGATAAAAAAAAATGTTCAAGATCGAAGCAAACGGCTTTTTTCTCTGGGTTTTTGTTGTTGAAAATCCAATAGTATTTACAAATTTTAATGGAAATTGTACACATTTTTCATAAAGCCCAACATCGAAATGCTTTTTTAATTAAATTAAAACGGATTTTGGTGTGAAAATCGATGTGTTATTCGAAATTCTTATTTTTTTTCAATTCTTTTTGTGTCTTTCTTATTTAAGGTGGATATTGTGGTTATATTTCAACAGTTGCCACCGTCCAACATCACCTCGCTCAATCATTTTCACACTCGCTCACAATCTAATGGATACATTAGCGTCACACAAAATGAATCCAACTATACCGCAAGCCCATGCATCATCGTTGACCACAACAAAATCCCTTGAATTGGACCCATCAAAACCATCATACGAAGACGAAGATGAGGTATGTATGCACAATTTTATTTTCTTCTCTTTCCCCCACTCCATCTCTCTCTCTCTGGAAAATTGTCGGTATTTCATTGAATGTCTCGCATAATTTTAGATGATTTGATTGACACAGTAGAGGGAAACAAATATTGAGCGATGCGTGACAAATTTAGCGCACCGTTTAATTCCACAATCTCTATAACTCATTTAACTTTTATCTTATCTAAATCATTACAAAAAAAATTCGAACAAAAAAAAAACGTATGACACAATAGTCGAAATGTATTGGCGTCGGGTAAATGCTGATTTCTTTTCTCGATTTCAACAAATGACAAAATTTATGATGATTCAAAACAGGTGTACGAGAAAAATGATTTTCGAGAGAAACACAAATAGATTGATAGAGAGAGAGAGAGAGAGAGAGAGAGAGAGAGTGAGAGAGAGAGTGAGAGAGAGAGAAAAGTAGAAAGATAAACTGGTCGAACGGAAGTAGAACATTAGACATTGTATAAATACAGATCGAATGATGATTTGCTTTAAAAGCAAAATGGAATCTTATCGATATATATTCACTCACCCATATCTCGATATACGATTATGCAATATCGAAAGGCATGTGATAGCTCAAGCACCGGTGCATTTTATTTATTGTCCCAGTCATTCTTAAAGTGCGCATTCAATGTATCAATTCTACTGGATATTTAACAATACATTGTGTACGACGAGTAAATATGCATTTCCTGTATGAAGGAGGATGTTTGATATTTTTAATCAATGTGTCACGCGAGTACTACACGGCAATATTGTTGTGCTCAGTGAACCATTGAATTGTGTACACATACATGACTATTCTTTTTAAGTTCAAGCGATCGAATCGAAATGTGTACGTATGGAAAATCGTGCAAATTGCTTGAGAGCAATGATGAACAGGCTAGTTCAAACAAGTGTGTGAATTTGAGCGCGAACATAAATTATGCAACTGCCTCATTTTTAACTACCGATTGGTTGTGATTTAGAATGATTTTCTTTTTTCAATTCAATTAGTGCAAATCGTCGTCGTTGCTGATTTCAATGGGATTTAGAATTTCATTTAATTGGATAAATCAAGATGATCATATTTATTGGGTTATGATGTTGGCCGCGCAAACAATTCGGTATTCTACTTAAGAGGCATAAAACGATTAAACGATATTCCAGGCACACAGGTTACACTATGTGTAACATCGCAATGATATTTTTGGGACAACCAGGTGGCGTATAGTCAACTTTTCCTTGATTTTGTTTTTGTTTTAGTTAAATGAAGGCAAAATTAGAATATAAACAAACCAAACAATTGATGGCTGTGTAAAGTCGTTTTTCTTATGCTTTGAGCCTGGATATTTTAATTGGCTCGTTAATTGACGAATAGTTCTAAATCGCATTCTGTATAGCTCATCAATCAAAGCACTGAGCAAACCACTGAAAATCAATTGTTTTATGTGAGAAATCTTTTTGCCACAAATCAAAGTTTAGTTAGCTCAAGTGGCTCAAAAATTCAAAATGATATTAACTTTTTTTCGCAATCAATGCACATTTGAGCCATTGCATTTTGCAATCCAACGTCGTTGCAACGCATTTACTTGGATTTAAATCAAGCTACTTGATAAGGTCGTGCAATGTATTCTAATCCGTGGCACTTATGTGCACGCAAAAAAGCAACAAAATTAGCTGAACATCAAAATATTTTAAAAATTGAACAAATAAAAAAATCGGCAAATTGAGAATGACGACAAAAAAAGCGAAAAAAATTTGTAAATAATGCAATTTAACAGAAAATCAGCACCATGTACAAATTGAAGTTTTCACTTTCAAAGAAAATAAGTAACCGAGAGAGAGAGAGAGAGAGAGAGAGAGAAAGAAACAAAAAATGTGTAGAAGGTTCAAGTGCTACTTAAGTAGAAGTTAGATGAATTATTGAATTGAAAATTGTAAATTATGAAAACATCTGTTTGTTTTTGAATACACTAGACCTCTTATGCATCATTGCTAATAGAATCAACGCAACCATGCAATTTTCGCATTTCACAAGTTTGATCATGTTCAGTGTTCGTACGACAAATTGAAATGCAATGTTGAAGTTTAATCAAAATGATTTCGAAATTACAAAAACAATCACCGTGAAAATGCTGCGTTTGGAAAAAAACCATTTCTTCAGCGATTACAAACTTGCATACAAATATAGACAGAGCAAAAAAAAAATGTTCGCGACAGGCCGATAAATGAATGCGATTAAATATCGCGAGCATTGTAGAAAATGTAAATTTATATTATGCGACAACCGACAACAGCGATGGCATTGTTTTTATTTTGTTTTCTTGAGCGAGATACAAGCGCAATGCTTGTAAAATGCAAATTTTATAATGCAAGCAACATTCTATATTGTCTCTCATACCAATTGACCGTCAAAAAAAAATATTTTCCGAATTATTTCATTGTACAATATAAGTGCTTGGCAACACAAATATTAGAATGAAATATTTAATATGTTCAGGGTGGAATGGAAAATGGGAGAAAATGAAGAAAGAGAGAGAGAGAGTATATGAATAAATGAGTGTCACATATATGGGTTGGTTCAAGTATGTGTGCTTTGGCATCATATTTAATAGAGCGTTTCATTGGTGTTAATAATGGTTCAACTACAACTGGTTGATTATACTTATTATTGGGTCGGCGACCAGCGCATGACGAAGTAATGGCGGTGATGTTAATGATGATGATGACGATGAATACCAATGATAAACTATAATTACAATATATTCAAAAGAATCTACTTATTTAACGTGACGACAATACTACTTGTAAGCCATTCTGATAAAACGACACACAACCTTATTCCCTTGTCACATCAAAGTACTCAACTTGGACTTGGGGTGGCTTATTAGGCGAATAAAATAACACACTCATCTACGCACACAAAAAGAGATATGAGAATCGACGTGAGAGAGACAGAAAAAAACAGCATACACTCTCAAGCTGAACGACGACAGAAATTCTACTTGGAGATAACGTATGCCAGAATTATGTTAAAAGCAAGCTTTTCCAACTTCATCGAATCCAATCTACCACGAGATTCGAGGGCTTTTATTCAGCTCATCGTCAGACTATAAATCATTTTTAATGACAAACGAATCAAATATCAATCTGAAAATTCACTACTAGAGATAGAAAGACTATCGTTCCCGTTTCGTTTCATTTTTAGACGAGAAATGGGAAATAGAATTTAAGCACGTATTCAATGCAACGATAATGATAACGGCGACAGCGATGGCAACGACAATATGGGCAAAATAAAAAGTGCAAGGATCAGCGTACCGCCGAGGTTATGTTCATTTCAACACTATAGCATGTCTTGCATATCAATTCAATATTAGACACAAATTAAACATACTCAAAAGAACACGAAGTACAGACGGAACTATAGTCAATTACACAAAAAATAAAATAAAATTTTTAATTCGGAATGATGCTCCGACGACCAATTCAATGAAACAAAAATTCATGATGCTGCAAATGTTTAGAAGGTTGATCTGACTGACATGATAATGATGATTAAGAACGACAACAACATTGGCCGATTATTCTTAGATACGCGAAGATAAATCGCTTCCACAAGTCATGTCGTTCATCTTTTTTATCATTTACGCAATATACTGATTTACTTGTTTTCTCGCTCTCTTTATTTCTGTCTCACATTGAAATGCCAATTCATCCATATGTAAATTCTTCCGTTTTTACCCAAATCACATTGTCTCTGTTATGTGAAAGTACTCTGTTACGCAAATATTCTTCAAATTCGGAACACGATGAAAACTAATCACAAGTCCAAACTAATTCAGTCTTAATTTATTGTTTACGAAAAATAACAACATAAATTATAACTATAGTTGACGGCGGTGACATATACACAATTAGTTAAAACTATGATGGCATTTGGTCACGTGTAGTATATCATGGCCACAAATCAATGTGTATCATGTAAACAATTTATAGTGTGTCCGAGTATGTAAGCGCGTTCGCGCATCATCTCTTTCGATTTGTGTGTGTGTGTGTGTGTGCGCGTAATATCATCCAAAGTTGCGTGCGACTTATATCGATGTTTTGTTTTGGTGCTATTTATAATCAGGCGGTGAACGGCGGTATTTTTCTACCCGCTATTTTCGAACTATTCCCTATATTGGTTGGCGCCGATGTTGTTGCCCATCGAACTAATATGAATCTGGTTTGCAATTTTCTTAATCTTTTTTCAAACATAATTTTCTTTTTTCTCGTCTTCTTTCTGTTGTCGCTGCTCGGAAGCCAAACGAATGACACAAATTCAATTACCGTTTTTTTTCTAACATAATATTTCGTCGGCGAAGCAAAAAAAAAAACAGTTTTTTTCATGTGCATATTTCATATTTCGAACTCTTGTTATCAATATGAAAAAAAAAAATGAGAATTTAGAAGAAAAACGAAGAACAAAATTCAAAATGGATTTTGACATGGCTGTTTTTTTTTGTAAATTAATGAATCCATGTGACTATTTAACAAGGGCAAATATTTGTTTTTTTTTTTTGTACGGAATTTATTTTGATGTTCGAAAGAGAGAGGGGAAAAAGCGATATTTTTATGTTTTGATATGATGAAGCAAAAGCCCCCAAAAATGGAATGCAAATACTTCAATGATTCGACAGAGTAAAAGAATGTGTTTTTGTTTTTATTGTTTTTGTATTTTTGCTCTTGGCAGATATCATTTTCGAGAAATCAACGTATTTTTTTTTTCATGTAAGTTTGAGATACAAGAAATATTTCAAACATTCAACCGACACTGTTCATTTCATTGAAGAAAACACGTTTGTTTGAATGGAAAATTATTTTGCTAATGATTTACGGCATCTGCAATTATTCCCAGCACACACAAATTCATATACATTCAATTATGATTACAGTACATGTTCAAGATGGAACATGAATGAAACTCTTTGTGCGCTGCCAATAAAATAAATCCATACAAAAATGTAAACTTTGGAATGTCGAGATTCCATTCGGTGCACATATCAATCTTTGATTTAAAAACAATTTAATTTTCGACTACGGCATTTTATACATATATCAATGGAATATTTGCATGGAATTTTTAACATAAAATTCCTTTTATTTTTCTTTGTTTGTAGTTTCAAGATGCCTGGGATGAAGGCGAAGATCCCATTCCAAAAATGTAAGTATGCAATGCGATAGATTAGTTTATTTCTGATAATTATTCAATTGTCGATGGATTTTCGAGCAAAACTTAAAGCTCACAAAAAAACAACAACCGTCAATTAAACTGTGTTTGTGCACGTTTTCAGTGCACACCGATTCAATTAAACCTGAAACGAGTTTAGGCCTACTTCAATTCATTCAATCACTTAAGTCATGCAATTAATCTGTCGTAAATGTCTTTCGATTAATTTTGTACATTTAATGCGAACAAGTTTTCAATGGAGACAATTTTTACTTCGAAATGAATTATGAATTGCGTTCAGTGAATTTTTTTGTGTCGCGGTCGTTTATGATTTTTTTTAAATATTCAATTTCGATGTCAAATGTTAATTCGTCTGGCCAACTACATGAATTAACTTTATTTGGGGTCAATTAAATCCTTTATTTTCGCTGACTATTTTATTAATTGACATGACTAAGACGGATTTTTTTCTCTCACGCATTGCCTAACTCTTCATAATTAACCGTGCCAGCTTGTCGTATATCTGAATTTAAAGTCTCCTTTTTCCCTCAGTTAATAAGCACTTTGTCAGTGGTTATGTAATCCGTTTTCTTTTGTTGTTGTTGTTGTGTCTTCAAAGGAGTGACATGGATTTGGAAACATCATTAGCAGAGGCTAAACAAGCGGTGGATTACTTTTTCAACAACAAATTTACAGAAGCAAAACAGCTTATGAAACCATGGTGAGTTTTCACTTTAGATAATTCGGCTGTCTTTCGCTGTCCGGATGCCGATACGTGAATGTGATTTCATCATGTTTTGTTTTATAAATTTTAACGGCCATAGGTGTCAGTCGTCGATGTATCATTCCATTGGAAATTGTGTTTTTTTATTTTTGGAAGCTGTTCTTACATTTGAACACGAACACATTGTACGCGCTTCCGAAGCGATAAGCCAATGCTTGGCTGTTTGCAATCGACATCGCAAGAAAAATACAATCACCGAAAGTATTGGGAAAACATTCAAACGGGTAAGTATCATAAATGCTTTTAAAGAAATGTTTATTTTTAACGATTCGCATGGAACTTAATCCATTATGAATTAACATAAATGTGGCTTTTGATTTTTCTCTTCAGCATAATTATGAGCAATACACCGAATTAGAAGCGCACGCTGAACTTTGTTCGGCCGAGGCACTTCTTTTAAAAGCTTTGTTGACATTCATCGAAGATGAAACTCTAACAAGTCTTATCAAAGGCGGTATTAAGATTCGCACGTGTTTCAATAGCTATAAGTAAGTTGGCCATTAATTATTGCCATTTTCCTATGATGCTTCATTAATTAAATACTAAAGGGATGCTCAGCACTAAAAGTTTCTTGTACATTACTGGAAAAACCATACTCCAGAGGTTTTTCCAGCAAACTGTGAAATCAAAAGTCAAGCATCCCCACGTAATACGGATCATCTTGTGAAATGAAAAAAATTAAATCTTTAATTAAATGTTGAATGGTATTTTAACTTCAGGGAATGCATGCATATACTGGAAAAACGTCAATGGGAAAAGCCAAGTTCAAAGAGGCACTTTGAGAGTGGTGTTCGAATGGGCGTTGGAACGTTTAATTTGATGGTATCACTATTACCGGGTCGTGTCATTCGATTGCTCGAATTTATTGGATTCTCGGGTAACAAGGTAAACTTTATTTCCGTTCAAAAATGTTTGTTTTTATTTTGTTAAATTTTTTTTTAGCTAGCTTCAAATTCAATTCTGACTTGTACACGTACCACATAATGATTCATCATTATTAATGCTATACAAATGCTTGCCTTTTTTTATTTACTATATAGCAAACTGGTTTGCAAGACCTTAAACTTGGCTATGATATGGATGGTATCCGGCAAGTACTTTGTGTTATGACCCTGTTAGCGTACAATCTGATCGTATGCTATGTGCTTAGTCATCAAGAAGGCGATGTTGATTTCTGTGATGAAGTTCTCACTAAACAGTTAGAGGTAATGCATTTGCTCAAATAAATGTTTGCTAAATAAATGACTGGATCTAATTAAATTGTCTTTTATTGCAGGCATATCCAAAAGGTGTATGGTTTCTATTTTTCAAAGGTCGTCTCGAATTCATGAAAGGTAATTTGGACGAAGCTCTCACTTGGTACAAGAAATCGTGGAAATCACAGGATCTCTGGCCTCAGTTTCATCACTTGTGCTTTTGGGAAATTCTATGGGTCAATTGGTATGTACAGCAAATGGCTAGGATAAAACTTTAACCATGTCATGTTTGTGATAATCATAAAAAAATATAAATTTTTCAGTGCAAAATTGGATTGGAAAGAAGCGGAAATATTTGCATCGTTGTTGTGTGAGCACAGCAAATGGTCGCGTACAATCTATACGTATCAACGAGCTGTTGTGATGATAATGCGAGATAAAAAAGACCTTACACCAGATGAATTGCAAACTATTGAAAATCTTATGCGGTAAGATTCTCTCCATTTTCTTTATTGTTGGAATAGAATTTTTTTTTAAATTTGTGTCGTTTTTTGTTGTAGAGAGGTGCCTCAATACAAGCAACGTATTGCCGGAAAATCGTTGCCAATGGAAAAGTTCACAATTAAAAAAGCCGAACGCTTTTTTGCTCAGAAAAAGAATCTAGTGCTACCGGCCATTGAACTAATGTACCTGTGGAATGCATTCAAAATATTGGGAAAACATTTTCATTTGGCCGACAATGTTTATAAACTTATCGAAAAAGCTCAACAAGATTTGGAAGCACGTACCGAACGCAGCAAATATGATGTTGAAAACCGAGCATTAATTTTGCTATTGAAAGGGGCGTGCTTACGTCAAATGAAAAGTCCATTGCAATCTTTGCAGTAAGTGTTGATTTTATAGCCGCTCTTCATTTTTATTTTGATCAAACATTTTCTTGGATTTCAACCCATAGGTGTTTAGAAGGTGTGCTAAATCTGCACAAAGAGATTAAAGAGGATGAATACTTGGTACCGTATGCCATTGTTGAAATTGCTCTGCTGTACATTGATGGAGGTCGCATCGACAATGCCATTGGTGCACTTGAAGATGCCAAGTATGTTTACCATAATTCTATTCAATTTTTTTTATTCCATTCAATTTATTCGATATATGTTTTTAATTTAGGAAAAATTATACGGGATATTCATTGGAATCACGTTTGCACTTCCGCATACACAATGCCTTAAGTGAATTGAAACCAAAGAATCGATCTAGAGATAAAAATTCATCGCCGGACCATGCACATTGAAATTGTTATGTGCCCTCTTAGATGCATAACAAATATAAATATGGTATACCGTTTAACAGACTACTCACAGAAGACGTCAATTGTAATATTTGCGAACTCTGGTGGTGATTTACTAAATTACCACCATTACAATGTGTGGCATGGTGATTTTTGTATGTATTGTATTTGCTTTGCTGAGCAATATTACTATCGCTCAACGCAGTGTTGGTGGTACTACTGTACAGCGCTGTCACAGCAAAGCAAATACAATACATACAAAAATCAGCATGCCGCACATTGTAATGGTGGTAATTTAGTAAATTACTACCAGAGTTCACAAATATTACAATTGACGCCTTCTGTGAGTACAGACGACGAATAAGTGTGTGGTTACATAAAATTCTTTCCAAATAAAACCTATATATTTTAAATATATCAAATAAATCCTTAAACTATTTTCGTACCAAAAATAACTTTTCACACATGCCAATGTTGAACGCCACACCAAAATTGTTTTTGACAACGTGTTGTCGATATAGAATTAGTTGAACGACACTACGCGTAGTCATTTTCTTTTTTTCTAGTTTTTAAATTCAACCGTACCAATTTCAATTGTAATTGAAACCAAATCATTTTTAACATAAATAAATATTTTAAAAGATACACGAAATGTATACGAGTTATTAGAATAATACTGATTGCCAAGGCGTAAATTATCTTAGTTTTATTGCTGCTTTGTTTTGGCCGTGTCACGAGCCACTTGATGTGCGGCAACTGGACGTTGGATATGCTTGTCTAGCTCTAGTCGGGCCACAGGCTGTTGGTAATGCACTTGGTTGGTGATTCCATATCCAAGTGGTAATACGTAGGCGACTATTTAAGTTTCTTCAATATGTATGTTTGAAATTTATTGATGGAATTTTATTAATAAATAATTAATTTATTTTATACACGTCCGTCGTGTTGAACGATTTATTAGAGAAGAAAGTATTTTACTTGGCATTGCTTTGCAATGTCTTTGCCAAAGTGACACTAATGACATTTCATACAATGTTTAATTTGCATCTCACAAGATGATGTTCTTAGTTAATGTGTTCACCAAGCTAACTCATTGAATATAAATAATCATATTTCAACATTCCCACTTAATCAATGGGTTACAATATTTAAAAAAAAAATAAACTTCGCTTTGTATTTAATTATATCAGTTCAAAAAATTGAATTTACCATTAACTACTTTAAATAATTTAAACCCATCTCAATGGTACAAAATTCGTGTTTGTTAAAAGGAACAGCCTTTGTGAGATTATCTGCTATCATTTTATCAGTTATAACTTTACAAATTTTAATCTTTTCATTACGTATGAGATCTCTAACAAAATGATGCCGAATGTCAATGTGCTTTGTCCGTGCACTGTATGCTCCGTTTTGTGCCAAGTCTATCGCTCCTTTGTTGTCGCAATAAATTTGAAAATTTGGTTTTCTTTCTCCCAAGACCTCGTACTTCAATTGATCAAACCAAATTGCTTCTTGGCACGCTGCTGTTAGTGCCATGTATTCCGATTCTGCCGTGCTCAGTGCTACTGTTCGCTGTTTCTTTGATGACCAAGATATAGCGCCTCCTTTCCATAAGAAAACGTAACCTGTGCATGATCTACGATCTTCGAAACTTGATGCCCAATCAGCATCCGAATATGCACACATTTCCCCATATTTACCATCTCTGGCAAATGTTAACTTGCAGTTCAATGTACCCTTTATATAACGTAGTATACGCTTCACTGCCTTCCAATGTGCTTGGCCAGGGTTTTGGTTAAATTGGCTCACATTGGTTACGCTGAATGAAAGGTCTGGTCGTGTACACTGTGCCAAATGTAGTATACTTCCCACTGCACCACGATACGGTATTATTTCCATTTGTCTTAGCTCATTTTCCGTGGTTGGCGACATTTTACTACTCAATTTTTGATTTGGATCGCTTGGCAATTTTACTGGGTCGCAGTCAAACATATTAAATCGCCGCAATATTTCTTCTGCATACTTTCGTTGATCCAAACTCAAAATACCTTTCTGACGATCGTATTTAATGCGTATGTTCAGAACCTCCGATGCAGTTCCCAAGTCCTTCATTTTGAAGTGTTTTGTTAGTGTTGATTTTAATTGAATTTTCCATTCGTTGTTGTTATGAAAAATCAACATATCGTCAACGTATACTGCTACAATTATTATTGAATTGTCTGATCGTCGAACATAAATACATGAGTCGGTTTTACATCGTGTGAAACCAGCTTTTTCCAAAACGTCGTTCAGTTTTAAATTCCATTGTCGACTTGCTTGCTTTAAACCATAGATCGATTTTCGTAATTTGCAAACACGTCCGCTATCATCGTCATAGCCCTCAGGTTGTTGCATGTATATTGCCTCCTTTATTTCACCATGCAAGAATGCAGTCACAACATCCATTTGGTCGATGTTTAAATTCATTTTAACTGCTATTGCCATTAACATTCGAATAGAAGAATACCTGACAACTGGTGAAAACGTTTCTTCATAGTCAATTCCAGGTCGTTGACTACAACCTTTTGCCACCAATCGGCCTTTGTAACGTACAATTTTACCATTTGAGTCTCTTTTTAATTTAAAGACCCATTTATTTCGAATTGGTTTTGCACAGTCAGGTAAATGTACCAAGTCCCATGTGCGATTTTCAATCAATGATTGGTATTCCTCGTTCATGGCCTCTTTCCAATGAATTTTATCTCGTCCATTCAGCGCCTCATCGACTGTTGATGGTTCTCCATTTAATGCTGCTTCCGCCAAACATGCCGCATCATATCGTTCAACTGGTCTATGTTGTCTCTGCGATCGACGTACTATCTGCTCTTCATTTTCGTTGATTGTTGTGTCTTCCAATCTACTATCATCACTTGCATAGTCCATTCTTGGTGGTACAAACGTATCATCCTCTACAACGTCTTCAAAATCAGTCGAACTATCAAGTGTAATTTCATTTATAACAGCATTGTCAGGGCCATGCTGTACGCCCAAATCTCCAAGTTCGGCTAGATCATGCAATTCATTTGCAACATTGTCTTGGCCATGTTGCACGCCATTCGATACATTTTCAACAATTGTTGTATCGTTATCATCGACGTCACCATTTTCAATTACAGACTCATTTTCATCTGTAAAATACCTAAAATCTTGGTTATCATTATTTAAGTTCAAAATGTTGTTACCATTTTCGAAGAATGTGACATCTCTGCAAACTGTTACTTTGTTGGTCTTTGGATCCATTAAACGATATCCTTTTTGATTTTCGCTGTAGCCAACAAATAACATTTCCTTCGAATTGGCTTCAAATCCACGTCGTTTCTCCTTGGGTATCATCGCCATTGCCATCGAACCAAAAACTCTAAAATGACTGACATCCGGTTTCTTTCCAGTCCAAATTTCGATTGGTGATTTATCGCCCAAGACTGTTGAGGTTGTGTGATTCTTTATGTAGGCCGCCGTATTCATCGCTTCAGCCCAATATTTTTCCGGTAACTTGGCATCATGCAACATGCATTTGGTTCGTTCTTTCAATGTTCGTATAGTTCGCTCTGCTAAACCATTTTGTTGTGGTGTGTATACCACCGACGTTTCATGATGAATTCCATGCCTATCAAGATAATGCTCAAAATGCTTCGAAACAAATTCTGTACCATTGTCACTTCTAAAAGCCTTGATGTGAAATCCAGTTTGATTCTCAACAAGTCTTTTGAATGAGCAAAATCTTTCAAAAGCTTCATTCTTGTGTTTTAGCATATATACAAACGTTTTTCGACTAAAGTCATCAACGATTACCAGGCAAAACTTATTGCCACCAATAGAACTACATTCTATTTTTCCAGCCAAATCCGCATGCACTACTTCCAATAGTTGCTTGGCTCTTGATCCTGCTTTGGGAAAAGGTTTTCGTACTTGTTTACCCTTACAACATGCAACACATGCATATTTACGGTCATTTTCAACGAATGAAATACCATTTACACCACCATTCCGCATTTTTATCAAATAAGATGGATTAATATGACCCATTCTTCTATGCCATATTTCCATTGTGTTGTTCGATCCAATACTTGCCAAAGCCATGCCGCCTATACCATCCAAACGATACAATCCATTCACCAATGATCCCGTTGCTAGCACTACTCCATCCGAGTCCTGAATCACACAACCTCTGGAAGTAAAAATAACTAATTTTTCTTTAGCAGTAAGTTCACTTACGGAAAGCAAATTGGCTGTCAATCTTGGTACACAAAGTACGTTCTGAATCTCCACAATCGATTGTTTTCCATTTAGATTCGCCTTAAAATCAACCATTCCACTGCATTCAACTTCCATCAGCTCATCATTTGCTGCACGTATCGGTGATATATCGTCATTCCGTGATTCCTTTATCCAATCGCTTCTCATTGTCATATGTCTTGTCGCTCCTGAATCAACAAACCAATCATTTCTATCGAATTTACCGCTCAAAAATACCGCACTGAATGCCACAGACGAACTGTTATTTTTATCAGTATTTTTGTTGGGTCTTTGCCCAAATTTATCAGCCGATTTCTTGGTTTTCTCAGGGCAATTAATTGACTTATGACCTTTTCGTCTACAAGAGTAACAAATCAATCCATTTTTACCCCGAAATGAGCCACGATTCTTTGCGAAAAGTGCCCTATCATCGTTTGTTGTACTACTTGCCGATGTTTCCTGTAACAGTTTGGTTTTAACACTGTCACTTGAAAGTTTCTTATCGGTACTTTCCATTGCCATTATCATTGGCAAATAATCATCGGTCAATCCGGCTAGTAAAAATATTGCCAGCCATTCATCTGGCACCTCAAAACCAACATCAATTAGTTTTTGAGACGTAGAAATGATTTCACTTACATAGACATCCATCGACGCACATTTTTCCAATTTTGTGTTGACTATTTTGCGCATCAATGTGACTTTTCTCACTGCGCCTTTGTCTTCAAAAGTTGTTTGTAAATTATTCCACATTTCTTTTAATGTCTTTGCTGATTTGATGTGCACAATATTTGTTTTGTCGATACTCAATGCGATTGCTGCCTTTGCCTTGGCATTCTTTTTCTCACACGTTTCATCTCCCGTTATACATTTCGATAAATCCTCTAACGCCAAGTAATTTTCCATTGAAAATTTCCACGAAGAATAATTTTCTCGCCCACGCAACTTTTCAATTGATGCTAAAATTGACGATGCCATCGATGTTTCTGGATTATATGTATCAATCGTTTGTGTTATTTTGTTGCTGGTCTTTGCAATGAGCTTTGGCGGTGTGGTTTTGTTCGATTTACTCATGTAAATGCATATACCGTCGGAATGAAATCTAACCTCACTTTCGAACGAATCAAAGTGAACAATTTATCAAAAAAAATGCCACGACAAAAACACGGAATTTTAAATTATTTTGCTTCTCTTAAATAAATTAATTATTTATGGGTGATCTGGGCCCATAACCTGAAATTTATTGATGGAATTTTATTAATAAATAATTAATTTATTTTATACACGTCCGTCGTGTTGAACGATTTATTAGAGAAGAAAGTATTTTACTTGGCATTGCTTTGCAATGTCTTTGCCAAAGTGACACTAAT